AGGAAGGAGCTGCTCCCACGTATTAAATGCCAGGCACCAGGTCCAGCGTTTTCACCAGCTTGCACTTACCTGGTGCTTACTATGTGCCAGGTACTGGCAAGCACCCCATGGGTCCCAACGACCCACAAAGAGAGGAAACTGAGTCACAGAGAGGACAGTCACCTGTCAGAGGTCACACACCTTGCAAGGGTGGAGCCAGAGTTCCAACCCAGGTGCTCTGGCTCTAGGGCTCGGCTTCACCCACTCTGCTGGCTGCTGCCCAAGGGCCTCTTTTCCATTCCCATGACAACCATGGGGAGAACTAGCATGACCTCTATTTTCACAAGCATAAAAGCTGAGGTGCAGAGCAGTTAAGTGGCTTGTCCTAAGTCATGCCATAAATAACCCCCAGATTCAAGCTTCCACCTGGGCTCAAAGAGCCCACACTCTATCACCCCCACTGTCTCTGGGAGGAAACAAGGTGAGGGTTATAAGGCTGTTTTTTTGTTGTTTTTTTTTAAACCATAAAATTCAGACTCTTTTTAAAGAAATAAAGCAAAAAAAAAAAAATCCGTGTGATGATGGTAGTGTAACAGGCTAGATAAATTGTCTGGGCCTCAAACAAGTCAGTAGTGAACAAGTGAGGACCGTATTTAAACTTCTTCCACAGCATCGTCATCGTAACCTCAGGCGCCAGCTGCTCATGCTGGTAGTGTGTACGTCGCTCCAACTGCACAGGTGAGAGTAACGAGGGTTTTACAAAAACCCTTGGTGGGATTGACCCCTTTTCTTGCTCGAGAATAAGTTATACCAGGCCCTGAGTTAATTTTTTGCTTCTGCTGTCTTCTCACCAACCCCTACCCACAGCCTGCTGTGTCTAGAGGCCCTGCAAAATAGTAAGAAAATTCAGTTCTCGGATTCAAAGGACCAGGTCTGGTTATGTTATCAGTGAGCTGTGTGAGGTCAACCTGGTGACTTCACCTCTCTGAGAATCATCTGGAAAATACAAACATCGAACCTAGTGACCTTCAAGGTCTCTTCCCACTCCAGGGCTGATGCTCAATGTTATTCATTCATTCAACTAGCTTGGGCCAGACACCAATGCGACATGCTGGAGAAATAAAGATTACTATAACCCATCACTGGCCCCAAGGAGTTCACAGCCTAGCGCTGTGATACAATTCTGTGTGACAAGTGTCCTAAGAGAGGCAAGTTGGTACCATGATGATTGAAAGCATAGAGTTCTTGCTTGGGGTAAACAGAAAGTCTTCAAGGAGAAGGAAATCTTTGAGCTGAATGTTGCATGATAAGAAGGTGGGAAGAGACGTTCCTGCCAGAGGGAACAGCGTGTGCAAAGTCACACAGGTGACCAGCATGGCATAGCCAGTCCACTTCAAGCTGTTTGGTGTGGCTGGAAAAGAGGTTGTGTACTTAACAGAAGGAGATGAGTCTTGAGAGATGGGCAGGGGCCATGTGATATAGGCATGGGGAACCACAGAAGTGTTTTAGGTGGAGGCATGACACGGTCTGATATGTATTGGGAAAGCATGCCAGTGGCAAGAAGGATGGGTAGAGGAAAGCAAGTAAACAAGTCTGGGCATAGAAAGATCGATCAGAATCCTTCCAACAATCCAGGTGAGAAACACAAGGGCCTGAACGTCAGCAGTAGCGGTGGGGATGGGAGCAAGGACAGAAACAGCCATTCTTCCAGTTGAAGGAGGAAGAAGGTACAGTGACAGACTGGATGTGAAACAAAGGGTCTAGGAGTCTCAATCTCCGACTTGGGTGTCTGGGTAGATTAGAAACACAGAAGGAGGAACAGGCTTGGGGAAAAACAGAAGGAGGTGACTTTGGGAAAGATAACTAAGTGTGTGTTGTTTACCTGAGTGGATGAGAATTCCCCCATTTTTAGAAAATGTGTATCATTTAAAACACCATCCCTTGGGACATCGCTGGTGGTCCAGTGGTTAAGAATGCGCCTTCCAATGCAGGGGATGTGGGCTTGATCCCTGGTGGGGGAAATAAGATCCCACATGCCATGGGGCAGCTAAGCCTGCGTGCTCTGGAGCACTTGCACCACAACTAGAGAGAAGCCCACGCGCTGCAACGAAGATCCCACGTGCCGCAACTAAGACCCAACACAGCCAAATAAATAAATAAATAAATATTAATTGATTAATTAATTAAAAAAAAAAAGCACTGTCCCTTAACATGCCGGCAAAAACACTCCCTTGGTGGGAATTCCCTGGCGGTCCAGTGGTTAGGACTCAGCTCTTTCACTGCGAAGGGCGTAGGTTCAATCCCTGGTTAGGGAACTAAGATCCCGAAAGATGTGCATCATGGCTAAAAAAAACATCCTCCCTTGGAAATGACTACCTTGTTCCTAAAATCCTACAGTAATGGAGGTACTGTTTTTGAAACATTTTCCAAGGCACTTTCCTTATGAGTGAGCAAAATTCTCTCACTGCACCATGGGGCTTACGGTCCTAGGGAAGGAGAAAGGTGGATACCGTCTAGAACAAAACCCAGAGGGCAGGGAAGAAGGAAGATACAACGAAAAGAAGTCCCTGAAAAACAGAAAGAGGAAGTACAAAGCCTTCTGGTGCTTGGAGGGGAAGCAGGAGGGATGAGAGGCCAGAAGCCCGTGCTCTTTGACCCTTGTCAAACCTTGGTGCCGGCGTGGAGAACAGTAGAAAACCTCCACAGAGGTTGAGAACAGGCCAGAAACACAAAAGATTTATGCCTCGCTCCTCCACTGGAGCCCTGGGGCAGTCACCCACGTCCCATAGGGTGTGGCCCTATGTCCATCTAGGGCAGCTCCAATGTAGCAGAGATGACTGCATAACATGTTCAGTCCGGGAGAGGGACTTTAGATGTCTCCTGCCCCCCACCCTGCCTTACCCCAATTCCCCTTAGCTTGAGTGTGTGAGAAACCCGGAAGCTCCTAAGGCTGCTAGGGAATGCAGAGGAGCTTGAGAGTTGGGATCCTGTGGACCTGCCTTGGGAAATGGAAAACATGCAGAGACATCGAACAGGTGCAGGTTTGTATGCACAGAACCAGCAGAACTGAGACAGGACCCATGAGCCGGGTGAAGCAGCAGGCCCCGGCAGCCAGGACCTCAACCATGGATGTCAGCAGAACTGGTGGGTGAAGGGCATCTCTGTAGAGGTCACTGAAGACCAGAGCACAACACAGGGTCCAGCACCCAGACCAGTCACCCTCTCCATTGTCCCAGAGTTACACACAGAGTGGGGACAGATCGGGGAGGGGCAGGAGGGGGGTACACCTGGAGAGCAGGTAATAGTCCAGGCAGGGACTGGACTGAATATTTATCCAAAAGTGGCTGAACTAATTTAACAAAATTAATTTAAAGTGGAAGAGGGGGCTTCCCTGGTGGCACAGTGGTTAAGAATCTGCCTGCCAATGCAAGCGACACGAGTTTGAGCCCTGGCCTGGGGAAGATCCCACATGCTGCGGAGCAGCTAAGCCCGTGTGCCACAACTACTGAGCCTGCGCTCTAGAGCCTGCGAGCCAC